CAGGGGATTATTTTTCTTTTCATAATTAGAATCATAATTTTCCCCACTGTGTGCTGAGAAGAGAATTTACATGTAATCTCCTTGAGTATAAAGAACTGTGTCATATTCATCTTTACAGCTCTAAAAATCTTGCCACAGGAACCAGCTATATTAGGCTTGTTCAAGTCAACCGAATTCCTGAATACTATCAAATTCACATGAGAAAGATAGGGATTTTTAAAAAATATTTTTCAAGTTCTCAACCTTCTCACCAGTACTCTTCGCCAGTTTTTAGCAATCCACATAATCAGAAATATCAGCCTAAGAGATCTACGATATGTTGCAATGCGAACCTTTCTTGCTCTGTCTGAAATGTATACACAATAAATGTCGTAATTATGGACATCTTGAGTAATATTATATAAACATAATCGGCACAGAAAATTTTTGATTAAATAAAAACAATATGTCAACTGGTCTTCAACACCAGAGTTATCATAACAACAATATAAAAATCAGGCTTGCTTTATACAAATAAAAGACAAGTTTAATAATTAATATAAAAAGCAAGCTTTCTTTATACAAATAACAAGCTTTCTTTATACAAATAAGTTTAATTTGACTTATTGCTGTACATACCTAACATTAATCTATTAAAGAATTCTATTAAAACTATGTAATTATATAAGTTGTATAAATAGGCCTAGTGCTCCATTTTACCTGATGAAATACAAATACACTCATTGTATCTATGCTGTGTATCTTAGATACATTTTATTCCTGTAAACACTATCATACAACTTCCCATACATGTTATTAAAACTTAACTGTGGACTCTGCCACATGTACAGCAAGATAATACGTTTATCATTATTTTAATAGTTAAAATATGGCTTTTATTTTATCAGACTTATTTTTTTTATTTTTAGGAATCTAGCAAAAATCTAAGAAATCCAGAAATATTTTTAGAAGAGAGTAATGAAAAATATTCATAGCCTTGTATGACTGAAAGACTTTGAGAGAAAAGCAGGGGTTAAAAGTGATCCTTTAACCACCCACACAGCCTGGATTTTGAGAGGAGGCTCCTTAATACTTTTTTTTCTTGTGGTTTTTGTTGCTTAAGGAAGTCTGTGGGTAGATAAAAGGTTATTATCCCTCCTACACACACCCGTTTTCTTATTTACAACATTGAATCTCCATATATCTAAGTACTTGGAACACAAATCTGTCTTTTTCAATCACTTCCTCAAATTCTTTGGAATTTGATCCACATATTACCTTCCCACAGCACATTTCACACTTAATTATAATTTATCCGGAATTATTTTTTCAAGTATGAGTTTATCCAAAAAGATTATTTGATGTAGATATATTCCCAACCAAACATTTTTGTTTGACAACAGAATTCCATAAACAGCAGGTCTTATGTCCAAAACTAATAATGAAAAATTATTTTTATATTAACGAGTTTTCTTAAACACTAAAAGAACAAGATACAGTCACTGAAATGGGAAAATTCAGCCTTTAAGATTTGTATGCAGTTTGTTTCTTATTAATCTACAAAATACCTTGATGAATTAATGCACATTTGAGGATGATATTAGAGACACAGCTAACATGTTTTACCTAAGTAAAGTTAACCATTTGAATACTTTCATTTGAATAAACGGCTCAATAAATTAACAATTTTAAAACTCCCTATGTATGTATACTAACAAGTTAACATAAATTTTATCAAACCTTTATGTCCCCTTCATATTGTACTAAAAATGTTCCCTCAAATGCAGTAAATGACAGATAATGCCCTTGTGCAAATGGGTTAAGCATAAGTTATTTTTAAAATAATCAGGTCTAATCTTCATTGCCAATGAAATTTTCATTCCTTTAAAAAACATAGGACAATCTACAGTACTATAAATTAATGTATATTTTTAAATGATTTTAGATTTGTAGGTTTAATAATATCATTTATGAAAGTCACACATGATAAATGTTTTGCAGGTAAATTTGTCCATTCACTATTCAGATCAATGAACTCCACGTGGGAATTATATTAACTTTTGTTGAAATAAGAAAGTAGAAAAATAACCATTAACCATCCAAAGTGCTTGCAAAGATGACCCAATTATTAATTTAATACACATTACTGAGAATATATTCTATAGAGACCATTTAGAAAAATCCTGCTAGCTACAATTGTTGGGTTAGTCAAACGAATACAGGTTATTCAATCATTTCTGGTTAATTCAATTGAAACTGATTCTGGCCCCTCCATTTCCTTGATAATACACATGCTATCAAAATACAGAGGCAAGTCTATTCTCTGTATAGCAGAGGTAGCAAGTAAAATATATTTTATGTACAACCCAATGGATATGTGAATTGAACATGTGCATGTCACTCTAAACTAGGTGTTTAGGTTCTAGGTGTTAAGGCTTTTTGGCATCTTGTAGTAGAGTAAAAAACATAAAGAAAATTAAAACTATTAGTATTTCAGAGCAAAGTAATATGTAGACTAGAAAGAAAAACAATTCAGTCAAAATAAACTGTTCAGTCTCTAATTTAAAAAAAAAATCTTTATGCAGTTAGGAGTAAATACTCATTACCACAATTTTCTGAATGACAATTATTTAAAAGAGTATATCTCAGAATTAAATGGGTTATATATTCTTTTTTTTTCTAAAGCAAGTATCTCTTAAGAAATTTCCTCACCCCCACTTCGGGTTACTATAAAGCACCTATTATTGGTAGAAAGAGTATTAAAAAAAAGAAAGAAAGAAAGAAAGAAAATAAAATAGGGAAAGAAAAGTGGCTTTTAACTGATGTACCTTTCATACGATAAGAAATAAGTTACAAATGTCATACTCTTGAGATTAAAATTATGTCGTAAAAAAATAAGCCTTGCTCATATTATAGGATAACATAATGACCAAAAATTTCAATATAAAATGCAACAAGAAAGGGTGAGTTTTACTTCCCTTTCCCTTGCATGTGTTAATAACAATGGATGAAAACTGGAAACTGGTAACTGAAACAGAAATTGCATCTCATTATTTAAAGGAAATGAAATTATGTACGATGTAATAAGAGGCACAGGTAGAAAAAAAGTATATGGTGACACTTCAACAGAAAGAGAATTGAAAATATTCTGTGTTCTGTAGACTGGTTTGTTTTATTTTGACTTTTAAGCATGCTAGAAAATTAACAAAATTTGTTGGATGAACAGTGGAACAGTTTAATCTCAACACAATATCTGCCGAACTAGGTGCTTTTCACATAAAATGATGTTTACATCTGGAAAATATACAGAATTTTGCATAGAAACTACCTCCTTACAAAAGCAATGTTTTAAAAATTGATTTGTTAATATTTCACTGGTGAAACATCTACTCAAGGAACTGCCTTTTTATTCCTTTCTTTCTTTCTTTTTTTGTCTTTAAGATTTCATTTATTCTTCTAAGCTGTTTTTTTCTTAAACCTCTAGGGAAGCTTCCTTGGTAATACTATGTTAATCAGCTAGGGGAAAAAAAAATTCTTGAAAGTAGAGAAAGACTATCCAAACATCAAATGACTGTCCAACATCATGTTATGCTGAAATACATTCTATACTTGAATCTTGACTCTTGTTTGGTTTTAAACATTATGAAAAAAAAACCTGTGTTCCAATATGCTGCCCTAATTGTGTTCCCTGGGTATTGCTTATTGAACTAGTTAAGCCTTTCATTACATAAGGCAACTTGATAAATCTTCCAAGTGTTTCCCAAACTAGATAAAGTGTGCATTAAAGTTCTACCTTTCCTGATCCCAAGGGCTTTTTTACTTATCTTTCATCAGATTCTGCATTTAGAAACTAAAATGAACTTGGATCCCTAGTAGTCAAGTGGTTAGAAAAAATAAAAAATAAAATAAAATTAGCTTGAAATCATACATGTAATTATTTTATACAACTTAAGCAAGGCCTTAAGAGAATGGTTATATTTTTATTATCTTTTTATTAATCTTGAAATTATATCTAGGTTTTTTATTTTTTCCTTTTTGTCTTTTTTCGTGTCCGGCAACGGACCGCAACCCTCAGTGTCGCGCCCGTACCGGACCGGGACCGGCAACGGGATCGCAACCCTCGGTGCTGCGCCCGCACCTCGCTCAGCCAGTGAGCGGGAACCAGTTTGTATGTGGGATCCAAATCCTCGGCAGGAGCGCTGCCGTCCTCCCAAGCGGCGCACTGTAGCAGTGCGCCACTGGGCCGGCCCCTATATCTAGGTTTTTGTTTTGTTTTTTTTTGTTTCCTGCTTTGTGTATAAAAGTGGAATTTTGTTTGGATTTCATTTGGAAAAGCATTTGGGAAATTTACAAGGAAGGTTCAATCTATAAATAAAATCTTTGGCAGGAAGTACATCAAATTAAATAAAGTTTCTGGCTCTTTCATATCTTACATACTTCCGTAAACAAAACTAAATGATAAAAACATCTATCTTATTTTAGTAAAAATAACTACAGATTAATTTACTGCAGGAAGCAAATGATATCTTCTTTTCATTGGCTTAAATTTTGTTTATCTTTTTTACTTTATTTTATGAAGTAAAGCTCCTTCAGTTTCAAATTATAAATCTGATAATTAAAACCTTGTCAACATGATAGTGATATATGTGTTAATATTAGTACCTAGTAATTGAGGGCACTATTATGTATTCTAAAATACCCAATATTTAAATAATTTCCTCACAAATTCTTTCTGTCCTGCCAAATTTACATGGAAGCTTCTCTTAGGAAGTTTTGACATTATGCATATCTATTTCAAAGATAACTCACACACAAACAAATAAATGAACAAAGGAGATATACAAAACTATTTGCATGGTTCATATTTACTTAATAAGAACAATAATATTTTTTATGTTTCCACCTTTTTCTAAAATGCAAAATGTGAATTTGTCTTACATATCTGTAATGGAAAATATATAAGTAAAGATACACAATAATATCCACCTGTATCTTCAAATACATAAAAAGACAGCTCCTACCTCCATCTCCAGATCCTGATCCTGCATCTGGAGAGTAAAAAGAAAACAATTTATATTTGCTTAAAACATATTAAAAAGTATTTATGTATTTTTAAAGTTCAAGTTTACTTTCATAATTTAAGACTGTAGTTCCATTGAGAAAATTACTAATGTTTAAACCAATTATGCATATTAACACAAATTTAATTTAATTTCCATTTACATAACTTATAAAATACATTCTATAACATTTTTATTTTTGAACTTTATGAAAAAAAGAATTATTCAGCTTTGGAAACATTCCTAAACTTGACTATGAAAAATCTCTTATATTTTATTTTAATCAGGATGAATTTGGTGCCCTGAACAACAAAAAAAATATTGAAAGTGAAATGCTTATTTTATTATACATCAAACGGTTTTAACTTATGGCTAAGGCTTATATTCCTGGTTATTGCACATGAAACAAGAGAAAAAGTTTAAAATGAAAATCTTTTTATTTAATTGCCATTGCATTTTACAAATATCACAGCTGTAGATGATTCTATCTGTGACTAAATCATCTTTTGTTTCTGAAATCAGTAGAACAGTAAGCTTAACTTTTGCCTTTGTGCTTAAAATTGGATTTATGCTTTCAGTGATGCTGGCAAAAAAAATAATACCACCTTCTGATATCTCTCTCTCTCCTTCTTCACATAATTACAACTGGTCAAAGTTGTCTATTTCTGAGAACTCAGTTGCAGAAATACCTAATTCTCTAGATGGAGTTAAGACCATTAAGTTTCGCTCTGCTTCTACATGTTGAGTGTTGACATCACCTTCCCTCTGCCTCCCCACTTCTTTCCATTCTAAAAATAGTTGATAATGTATGTTTAATGTTAATTCTGGCAAATAAGACTAATATTGATATTCTCTGATGTGCCCTCATCCCACATTGAAACCTTAACCAGGGTTTGAAAGCTATATCAAATGCCACTTCTATGAATGTGTTTTGATGTTTTAATCCAATTAAAATAAAACATTACTTCTACTTGTATGCCTCCATGTCACTTATTGAAAGATATTACGTAGAAAGAGGCATAATGTATGAAAATCCATAGAAGGCTGACACATATGGAAGAACGGAAGCCTCCCTAACTGTCCCCCTTGCTGTCATGTCACAGCATTAGCACTGCCATGAAGGAACAGTAGATCAAATTATCAGTCTTGGTGGAGACACACATAAACTAAATTCAGAGTCTAACACTGTATTACATCAGAATGTCAAGTCATTAGTTAACTACCAATGTGATCGGACATATCTTTGGGCCAATATATCCTTTCCTTAAAGGCAAGCAAATTTGTAAAATAATTTGTAATAAAAAGCCCTTCTTAGTAAATGTAGAATCAAACAAAGATTTTAATCATATGATTTGACAGTTTAATGATAACAGATCAAGGAAGGCTGATATATTCATCTCCATAATAGGAGAATATTCCTGCCAACCAAACTGATAATCATGTCACCATGCCATCTCTTTTGGACAGGACAGGGCTTGAATAGTCAACGTTTGTCAAGTTTCCTTTCTATATATTTTCACAAATAAAACTTTAATTGACTTTATTTGAATTAAATTGAAGGCTAAATACAGTATTACATGTAATCATCAGGAACTAAATAACAGGTTGCACCATTATAGTGATAATACATTCTACCTGTATTTTAGTTGAATGTATGTATTTTCTTTTTAATTTCCTACTAGGACTACAACTTTTTTAAGTCAAGGACAATGTGTTCTTCATCATTCTATACTTACATGCCTAAAAATGGAAATGCATGAAAGTGTCCAAGCCATTATTTTTTGGATGACATAAGGAATGTTATTCAACCTAAGCTCATTCTTCCTCAATTAAATGGGTACAGTAATGCCTATCTCATTGAGGCTTACTGCATAATAGCGTATTTTAAATATTTAAGCACTGTCTGGAACATAATAATGAGATTGTTGAGTAAACACCTTGCCTGTTCATCTACAGGTTCTCCAATAAATACACGTCTGGGGAAAATCAGAAAAAAAGGTGGTAGTATTTTGGCTTGTATATCCCATGTACGTTTCTAAAAATTCAAGGGCCATGGTCCTTAAGACAGTCAGTGTTTGATTTGGCCCAAATTAAATAGCTAGGGAAGAAAGCAGGAATAGATTGGAAAAAATGATCATTTAAGCCTGTGGCATCATTGTGGAATAGTGAGAGGAAGTTTTAATGTTTTCTCCATTAAGAGATGAATCGTCTTGGCAAACTAGGGATAAACAGCCTACTAAAGTGAAACAGAAACACCTAAGAAAAAAAGTCATGCTGTTGGACCTGAATATGGGCTTCTAATCAACCAATGCATTTCTTACAAGGCAAAAAACCTTAAATTGACAGTGAGACCATTGAGCAGACTGTGCAATAGAAAACCATTTTCCAGACTAAAAAAAGATTTATAAGTTCAATGAAATATAATAAACATAAAGTGATATCTTTTACTGCCTTTTATTCCTAGAGATCACAATTTGCAACCCACTCAGTGTCAAGCAATATTCTAAAAAAATGAAAAATCTACAAAGAAAAGAATGAGAATTCCTTTTAGATCAAAAGTCATTCCCTAATTTATTTACAGTCAGACCTGGTTAATCAAAATTACTTTGGTCTCTCCACCATCATTATTCAGATCAAAAACCTTTTAGATTTACAAGTCAATGGAAGATGTATTCTGCAAGACTGGCTTACTAATTAAATCCTGTAGGATTCTGAGTATGTGAATAAGCTAAGGATGGATTACTCAATTGTGATTAAATTTTCTACTTGGCTAAGTACTTATTTTCATAGTATAACCAGCACATCAGGGAAAGGAATGGAAATATTTGAATGAATCAGGAGAAGGTGACAGCATGTGCTGACAAGAACTTGAAGGCTGGTAGGTAAGAAAGATTTTGCTACTAACATCGTTAGCCATAACCATAACTTCTGGTCTGTTTGTTATGACTATTGCTTGCTGATCCCCATTTGGTTATTGTCAGAGAAGGAGAGTTATCCTCCATGATCTTGAATAAGCAAATCCTTTCTACAATAACCTGTGGTATTTGGCTACAATCTTCCTGGTTTCTGGGAGTCAAAGGTTCCATTTTTTTCTATTTCATTCGTCCTAAAGTATCACTTTTCATTTTTTTTTTCTTAGGTATGGCTGATTGATTTTTCAGAATTCGTTTGATTGTTGTCTTTCTATTTCCCCTATCCTTACTATGAAAATAGCATTCTAGTCTTCCTCCTTCCCTACTGGAAAAGCCTGCCCAATGACTCTCACATGTTGCTGTCATTTTATTCATTACTACTCAGTCACAGACCAAGCAGCAATGATGTGTTTACTTTAGCAAATAAAAAGTTAGTAGACCCCCAGTTCAGCTTGCTTCCCAACCACCCTTCCAGGAAGAACATTCACATCTTGAGACAAAGAATCATTTAAGAGAAAAGGCTACTTAAAAACCAAAACCAAAACAAAAAAGCCTACATCACTGTTCATGAGAAATAATACCATTTTCTTCTGCTAATTCTTAGAAACTATGGTAGTCACCAGCACAACTTAGAATACTATCAATTACTAACAATCAATAGGTTTAAGATAATCTTTTTAAAGATTTACCACCCTGCCTCAGCCATCAAACACATAACATAATACTCTGGAATAGAAATACTTGTCACGTAAGAGGGACTACTGAGTAAAATAGACTTTTCCTGACACTATTCTCTATTTTCCTTTTTGGAGGAGTTTATACTTTATATTATTTTTTTCCCTAAATATGCTTATATCATCCAAATTTTCAGAAATTATGACTTTCCAGACAGATGCCTATTTACCATTAAGGGCAACTATTATGGAACAGTAACGTTTCTTTAATATATGCGATTTTGGTATCTCAGCCTAATCTGAAAACTGAGTTCCATTCTAAGCATTGCTTTATCAAGCATGGCTTTAGGCCTCTTGTTTTTTTCTGCTGTAATGCTGTTGAGCTCTAACAATCATTGTACACAAAAGGAAAATCTAAAAAGCTAAAGAGCATACGAAATCACTCTTCCTCCTCACGTTCTTTACAGAATCCGTGGTACAATATGACTAAAAAGCTTTGTAGAATCTCAGGTTAATTGTGTCAGAAAAGATAGGTGTCATTAGAAGTTTTATCCATCACTGACACATTTTTCAATATAGTCTGGTAATTGTAAGAAGAACATTTTGTAGAGCTGTTAAGGTTAGGTCTTAACCTTAGAACCTAAACCTGGAAAGCTGCTCTCCAGCAGATAATGTTACTGTTCAAAACAAACAAATTTTATCCATGCATAAATAGTTTTCTATACATTTGCACCTGGGGAGTCAAACTAGATTTATAACTATATTTGATTTTTATTCAACTGTCTGCAGTTCATTAAATAACATATGCATTTAAATATATCAATGACCTTATGGTGGATTTCCTCTTTCTTCCAACAGTGATTAGAAATATAAAAAAGATGAAGAATAAGAATAACGCATGCTTTGTATAAAAGACTAAGAAGGTTGTCTAGTCAATATATAGTCTGAATTATTTATTTGGAGATAACAAGAAATGCAAGACATGTTTTCCTTTTTTGGATTCGAAATCCATCCAGAAGGTTTCAGGAAGGATTTACATACATACCTGTGGCACATGATCCTTCTGATACCACGAGTATCTCGCTTTGCTGTTTGCAGGCAGCCTGCCGCAGATAACACTCATTCTGGTAGCTCTCACCATTGGAGCCACACACAGGCACATAGTCACTGTTGCACTAGGGAACACAAAGACAGATGTAAGCCTGTGGTTAGTACTGGAGTATGCATCCCTCTGACATCCTGAACAGAAATAATCATTTACAAAAGAGACCGGGTGTCTTCCTTTTCAGTGATCTCCATTGTATCCCATAAATCTTTGACCTTGTAAGAGCATCATTCAAAGATACACAAAGGCAATGTCAAGTCAGACAACCAGTTATTTGATTTAGACAGGGGCCAAAAAAAAAAAAAAAAAAAAAAAGCACCTGAATTGATCAGGCAAATCCAAAAAAGTAATTGGACAAGTAGCATGAACGAGTTATGGGAACAAACATATCAATACTATTTAACATTGTTTTTATGATATATGGCCCATCTGACTTGGTGGAAAAAAATAAAACACATTACAATGTTCAAGCTATTAAAAGTAGGTAATGTGTATTTGTGTTTGGAGCAGAAGTATATAGCTAAAATGCCAAAGAATCCAATTACTCCTCGATTGTTTTTTTTCTATTGAGTTTTAACCTTTACACATTTTCAAACATTCCGATAAAATACTGGTTTACTAATTAAGTTTTTATATATGTTTAGACCATTAGATATTGATGGACATAGTCAAGAGTGAAAGAAGACTATGGAATACAAAGAAAAAAATTCAACAACTTATTAACTATATGCAAACTTTTCTGACTATTCCAATGTATGACTACTAATATATATTTCATACAGAGAAAAGTTCATTTTTAAAACCACCTCATTACAAAAAAGTACACATTTTACAATGAAAATTAGACAACCTACAGGTTATAGTCATCATACTATAATCACACTCTAAGGCATTAGAGATACTTGGCTGTGTCCTATACCTGCTAATTATGCCAGGGATGCGATTATCTCATGATTAGCACTACTGATGCACTTCATTGTTTAATTACAACAAATGTAATAATCAAGATGATTATTTACTAATGCTCACCTATGCAGAAACTGAGTAAGGAATATCATACATACAGATACATGTGAAAACACTTTTCTATTTTCCACATTTAATTGAAATATGTGGATTTTTTATGTGCTGCAAGTTTATAACACATACAAAATAAACCGATGATCTAGTGGGACAGCTAGTAAAGTTTTAACGTATATGATAATAAACCTTAAACTCTATCATAAGTAAATGTCAACTCAATGATTTATGCAAAATACAAAAAATAAACTCTCAATAATAATGATTAATAAACACTTGAGATTATTTTTTACTTTTTTTTTTTTACAATATCTGTACTTCCAAAATTCTCAATCAACTATTTAACTCTTACTCGTTGCCTTTGTATAATAATAGCTTAATCATCCTAACAAATTTATAAATCACATAAGTCAAAGTTCTCTAAAACAAAAGTCTGATTTTATGAGTCTTTTTAATCTATTATTGAAAAACTTACATAAGATTATGCTAATTGTTATTTACTTTTTTCCAAACAGTAAATCCAAATTGTATGACACTTATATTATGCTGACTATAATTGCTTACAGGATGATTTAGCACATATTTTAGAAATCTTCCTTATCTTTCTTTCTACAATTTATAATCTAGATATTTTGGAAGTCCTCTATATAATAATTTCTTTCCACAGTTATACTATTTGCTTCTAGACTCAGTCTATTTATGTGATTATATTTTAAAAACTGATTTGATTAGAACTTTTTGCTAATCTTTAACTCAATAGGCAATTCACTTCTGATAGTGTGGTACTTGTGCAAAGGCTGTCTTCCGCAAGCTTTCCAAATATACTTTTTAAACTTATAGCTGAAAACTGCCCTATTATAGGACTGAGAAAATCTGCTACTACTCAAGAAAGAAGATAATAGCAAAATGTCAGCGAAGAGTTGGATTTTCCAATGAGTAGCACTAAGGAGACAACAAATAAATGGGCTGGTGCTCATATCAAAACCCTAACCAGAAAGGCAAGTGGATGGATAGGTGCTTGACAAATGTGCCATAGTTAGAAGCTGGGACAGGAGAATGTAGGTAAAATTTATGAGGACCCTCTAACACTATGATGGTATCTGAACACATAGAGAAGAGATCAGAAAGAAGGAAACAGCTGGTGACATTATGGTCAATAGACTTGTAGACCCTTTCAGTAGGCTGAAAAGAGTCATAATTAGTGTGGAAGGCTGGACTTCTCGTGCTCAGGTCCTAGCATTCTTGCCCCGGTCACCTTTTAATCTGCATCTCCAACCCCGTTTACAATACTTTGTAGATTATTTGGGTTCACATTTCCTTCTCTCCAATCCCTAAAATTTCTCTATTTATCCTTCTCATCTATTTCTGCAGATTACTCAAATGTAGAGTTAGTGGACTGTGAGTGGGGAGTGGGAAGTATTTATTATCTCTGTCAAGTGCTAGTACACAATGCTGATATGCATCTTAAAATATGGAATAAACTGATAAAGTGCTCATATGCTGCTTCTGAGGGATGCAGTAAGCCAAATGTGAACAGTGCTAAAAACAGAGCTGCCAAGTTCCATGCACAAGCCAAAAGGGAGATTTCCATAGAGCTGAAAAGAGCTTAACTGTAGATTATCGGAATGATGTTTTTGGCCCTTAGTCCCATGACTTGCACTCATTAATAAGAATAATACAAGGAGGAAGCATCCTCTAAATCATGAAAGCTCAAGAGCAGGAGTCTAGTCCTAGGTTCTCCTGTTTCTCTCACTGCCTTGGTGTAGGAGCTCGTGTATATTACTTAGCAATTTAATATTTAATGAGTTTATAGCTTAGTTTCCCCATTTGAAATGGTTACCCGGGACATTTGGAGAATTAAGAGTCATATTTTTAAAATTATGGAATACTTTGAAATACGCACTTGTAAAAAGAAATATAAATTATTTGCCTTTCATGACATGTATTTTAACTAGCAGAGTCACCATCTAACATAAACACCAAAACGTGGCATTTCTAGAATCAGAAAACAGGATAACCCTAAGCATGAAAATAGGCAAACTACTGCATTAAAATATGCCAAATTATTGGAAATAGCTTTTAGTGATAATCATCATACTGCTCAGTTTCAGATGAAGGGACAGACTCAGATGTTAAATGACTTGATAAGGGCCACATAGTTGGCTGGTAAAAGAAAAAACAAGACTCAAGCCCAGATGGTTAGATCCATAAATGTATGTGTTGTAAAAACTTTCACTCAGGGCAAAAAGTGATTCTGTTTTTTCTAAGATGTTTTAGAAATCTTAAGTTTATTTTCCAAATATGTGTTTTTCAATAGAACGATTTTATTCCAAAGTTTCCACATTGCTTAAGAATAAATCAGTTATACATCATATTAGTAGATTTAATAACTTTACACCCTTAAAATATATGGAATTCATTTTTGCTACAAATGAATAAAAATTATGTAAGAAGATTTTTTATATGATTTATTGCTTGTTTGGCTAATAGGGATTTTTTTAGCTGAGATTTCAGCATCTAGAAGCTATGCATGACTTATGTTTTATATATTGCCGGCACCTTTCAGAGAGTCTGGCATGTAGAAGGTGCTCAACAGATGTTTAGTGAATTCTGTTATATTCCCAGTTGTCAAGGCTTAGGAGGAATGGCTTGGGATATGGCATATTTCTCTTCCAAAAAATAAAAAGATAAAAAACCTGCATATGTTCCAATCCTTTGGCCATTCCATATGTAACTTTTACTTCTCTTTGACTATATTTTCTTAAATGTAAAAATTTTATGATTTTAAGAGTGAGCAGACCTGTGGCTGTGGTGGAGGTGACTCTGTGTGACTTCCCAGGCTAGGTCATTAAAGGATACAGCTCTTTCTCTCTCTCTGGATGCTTGCCTTTGAAACCCAACCACTGTGCTATGAGGAAGCCCAAACTAGCCCATACAAAGAAATCGACATGGAGAAGAACCAATGTCCCCAGCTGACAGTCAACCATATGAGTGAGAGGCCTGAGATGAGTATAGCATCAAGCCTTTGAATTCCCTTCCCCTCCCCTCAGCTAATGCCAAAGAGAGCAGAGATGAGCTGTCTCCATTAAGCTCTGTCCAAATTGCAGATTCATGAGCAAAATAAATGTTCATTGTCTTAATCCACTAAGTTCTGAGCAATTTGTTTGCAGCCCTAGTAACCAGAACATTTGCAGATCTAAAGCATGGCTTATTAAATAAAAATATTTAATATATGAATTAGATAATATCTGAAAAATAAGCATTAATCATGTTTTAAAATTATAAAGTGATTATTGATCATTGTATGACCAGCGTTATCTATGAATAAATACATGTGTGTCTTCTTTCCTCCTTCTCCTCCTGTCCCCTTCCTCTTCCTCTCTCCTTCCCTCCCTATGCTCCTTCCTCCCTCCCTCGCTTTCTCCCTTTCTCCTTTCATCTGTCTACCCTTCCATCCATCCATCCTTCTACTGTCTAAATTTTCATCTTCATAGTTGATTGATCAGGGTATCATTTGGTATACAGATGGGAGGGTAGGATGCATAAGATTGCAAGCCATTAATGGAAGTCATATCATCACCTAAGAATTAGTTGTATTGCTTTTGATATTAAGAATTGTTTACAATAAACTGAAAGTTTTGTTGTTGTTACTGATATTTTCATTTGCATGTACAATGTCTTGGAAAAAAATTGGATTTAATGTCAAAAGGATTTAGATTATTACTCTAAGGTCATCACTTAATGATAAGTTATTTTGTGCGCCTAAATTTTCTCATCTATAAAAGTAGGAGAAAATAATTATCTCACCCAATTGTGAGAAATAAATGAGATAATATATTTGAAGAGTCAAAATCAGTTTATTTTAAATTGTCTACGAAAGGTAAAGGTTAATGTATGTTCATTTTAGTGACCCAATAATAATCCAAATTGGAAAACATTACAGGTTACACATATGTACCCATTTTTCTTTGAAATTTATCCCTCAGCCATAAAACTATAGTTTGCATCCTATTTTGAATGAAAGATTCATGTTTGCATCTAAAAATCCAGGAGAAACAGAAGTTTATAATAGTATAAAGAAAACAGATTTTCAGGACGTTTCCCTTTTTATCAGACACTGGTGGAAAACAAACAAAACAAAACAAAACAAAAGAAAAAACTCAAGTTTATCTGAAAGTATTGGGAAAAGACTAAACTAAGATCTTCTTAGATTAAAATATCCTATCTATTATTCTTCATACAACTTATACATTTTCTTTGATCTTTGATTTAATTTAGCCACTCTATATTCTTGGTATGTGCAAAGTCTAAATTTTCCAGTAGGGACATGTTTATTTCCTTCTGCCAGATTGATAACTACTGCAAAGCACAAACTAGTAGCAGTAGTAATCCAGTAGTAAATTTAGAATGCTACAAGCATTAAGAAAAACAAATTTACATTTTAGTTTTTATTCAAATCTGCATTAGTTGCCCACCGCCCCACCCCCTAATCTATTACACTCAACAATTGCTTAAATTACTGACAAATGTATTTGGCTGGCCAATGGATGAAAAACACAAATATCTTTGTTGATAAAGTCTTATCAGAACCCTCTGTGGCACCTGAAAACTGAACACAGTTCTTTTAATAAGAAAAGTATACATTTCCATTTAGTAGCATGCATCCATTTAGAGTTTTAGCAACTCCCTTTTTTTTCTTGGTGAAATCTTAGAACCACGGCTTTCCATGTGAGGAATGTTCTTCCTGGCTCATTTAACACCATTTATCAGTTCACTTCTTCTCTCTACCCTTGGTTAAGAAAATAAGATAAATTTATGGTAATCACAAACTGAAAGGGAAAAATATCCATAAAATCCCGTGGGTCTTTAATTAGTGATTTATCTCACTGTTTTTCCCCTTTAGTTTGGGGAATATATGAATTGGAGAGTTTTTATGCTCCATCTCTTTCATGTAGTTTATTGAAAGAACATATTACTTTGTTCAGTGTGCCTGGAGACCTTAAAAGTTGGTGCAACATGTGCATTAACTATTTTTGAATATGTTTCTAACACTATTGTATGGTATAAAAGTCTGTAGTATAGTCACAGCAATACTTACCCACCAGGAGGTGGTGCACTTTACAAATATCAGTTGTTTTATTTTGTTTCTTAGAAAGAATAAAAGTCTAAGAAGCTTTTAGCTTATCTAAAAGCCACTCGAACTATATTTAAATACAAATTTCCCTCTCTCTTTCACTGGGAGGTTAAAATCAATCTAAAATATTTAAGTTTTACCAACAATTCTAAACACTACATATTAAACCAGAGACTTAGGCCTGATTTTGAGTTTAATGTTTTTATTTATTTATTTATTTTCTTTTGCTTCCAATCTTGGAAAAGTTTTCCTGATCTCACATAGTATTGTTTATCTGCATATTTTCTGGTTTAGTCTTACATTAGATTTCAAGCATTTTAAAAAAGTAATGCTAAAACACTAAAGGGTGAATATAGGATATTAGTACAACATCTATGCTATTCAAAGGTATGCATAATTATAAAAATATTTTGAGAGGAAAAGAACAATTATAATTTACGTGGTAGAAAAAATTTGTTAGACAATGACTATAATAATGACTTTAAGAGTTCTATCTTTAGTAGATACCAATAACCTAGTTTCGATGGTACCAGTGCTTCAAACTCTTTCTCTCTTTTTTAATTAAAAAAAAAATTTAACACAAGGCAAAGTTCATCTTTCTCATGTTCACTAAATGACTTGCGGCTCTTGTGGATTCCTGGGAGATTCAGTTCTAATTGAATGTGGTACCCATTAAAAAGTTGACATATATTAATAAATTCCACGACTTCCAAACTAGCACAGTAGTTCTGAAGCCACATTAATAAAGAGTGAATTTAAAAACTTAACCAGATTGCCAGGATAATGAAACTCAAGACCATTAAAACAAAAAGCAATAAAATCAAAAGATGACAGGATAGCCCAATAAAAACAAAGTACGAAGCCACATTTATTGCCCACTGACTATTTTGACTATTCTTCCCAGTCAGTTGACTTACATAATTCCTAATACAAGGGTCAGAGATACATAATTTTCCTTTGACATCTCAGAAGCACAACCTGAAGCTTTCTACATCCAGTGGCATTTATAACTATGGCATATACATTTATCCAAAAAGCGTATGTCTTCTTGACATCAGTTGGCTCTCTTGCCAGTACTTTTGCTTGGTGCTAGTTTTCTTCTTAGCTTGCATAGCTATAAATTGCCAAGTGATGGGTTGTAAAGAGAGATCCCTGTTTTGTAGTCTCATTAATGAATTAGAAAATGCAAATATAAGACTTCTTACCTTGAACTGACAGACGCAAGTCACAGTGTCTCCAATTCTTAAACATTCCCCATCAAATTTACAGGTGTTGGTGTCACAGAGGAAGAGATCATTTTCTCTGTCATCATAACCTTGAATTTAAAGAGAACACTCCAGTCATTAAAAAAATGTTATAGGTTTTAAACAAAAAAAGCACTATGTTGAAGCTTTTAAAGAATTTGTCCTAAATTTTAACTCTAACATCCACAGCCTTACAGCAAGGTCATTATCCACTGATAATCTCAAAATCTAGTTAAGTGATCAATATTTGTTTCCATTTTTCACAATTCTTTTCTAGCCAATTTTCCTTTAATATACTTTTTTGATAGTGCTATCTTACTTTAGCTTGAGTTAATACTGACAGTGGTGAATAAAGGTTTAACACTTGCATCCTGGCTTCCTTATTTTCTGCTCATTAAGTTGACTATAACTTCAAAACTCCACATTTTGGAAAAGAGCTGGTGATGGTCTCTGAATGCCATTTTACCATTTGTCCATCTTTAATCGTTCTTTTGCTTTAAGGTATGAAACAACCCCTTATTTGGAAATTCTCCAGACAAAGAGGAAACAAAGCCCTAATAATAAAGATAAACAGGCACAGGGTTTTCTGTGATGGTTTGTCTGGATCAAATGAAGATCGATCACCTCTAAGTTAACAGGGATGGGAGGAAGTGCCAAGTTCTTGATAATTTGCCTGGAAAACCAATTCCTTCTTTTTAGTTTCTGCAGACCCCTTTAAGATATCTGGCTAACAATATATTTCTTGATTACCTGTCCTAATTTCACATTTATGTTAGTAATTTCGTAAAACAATGGGATGAAGCAAATCTGTCATGTTGGACTACAAAGGCATCAACAGTTCAAACAACTGATTTTGCAGGATGTTTAATATTCCTTCAATAAAGCACCTAAAAAGTGAACAGGCACCTGCAAAGCGTAACTTATTCTTTCAAAAATAACACACGTTCACGCATGAACCAAGAATAAGCTAAATAAACACGTTCAGTTTTATAAAAATACCCAATTTAGAAACTGCTCAAAGCAGAACAAAATCAATTCCCTGCCCCAAATCTAATAGAGTGGCAAATCTCAACTTGTCTTTTAAAAGGATAAACTAGAACCATGCATAATCCTGTTCCTTTTGGAATTTGCATCAGTAAGTGCTCAGAACTACATGTTCTTTCACCCAGTAAGTTAACAGTTGGTCATCTCCTCCTCTCGAAAGTTACTATGCGTCGGCTCACATACATCCCTGAAAGCCACTTTATTTAGAGCCACATTTAACTATAGCAGAATTATATTTACAGTAGATGAAAAATTTCACACACACTTGCTAAAACTAGATCTGACTTAGGGGAAAATACCCAGGCATGTTAATGGAGCTTAAAATGCCAATGAAATCACACCACACTTCGGCGGATATACTGTCATACTGAAATGCAAAGCCGGCTAGCAGGATGCAGCAACTCCCATCCTCCGGCCCTATTTAATTAGGAGGCTTCAGCAGAGCGAAGCCTGCCGAGCTCTCGCGCTCAAACTCTGAAGGGACCCAAGCGAGCTAGAAGAGCTCCTGAGCCACTCCATGGAAGCTTGTCAAGAAATGGAGGAGTCAGCACCCTCCGAGGTCGGTTCCGTCCTCCCTGCGCCTTGGTCATGCCCACTCCGGCCGGGAGGACCTCTGAAAGGTTCTTTTCTCAACTTCCCTCCATCACCCGGGGGCTTGGGGAAGCAAGAGAGGGGCATCTGTGGGCTGCAAAAACTACGTCTTTTGTAGCCAAGGAGAGAAGGGAGAAGGAAGAGAGAGAGAGAGAGAGAGAGAGAGAGAGAGAGAGAGAGAGAGAGAGAGAGAAAGGGAGAGAGGGAGAGAGAGAGAGAGGAGGAGGAGGATGAGGAGGAATTGATCCTCTTGAAACCTAGCTCCTTTAGAATCTGTGTGACCTAGTCTTGAATGCGAGACCAGACCACCCTCGTGGCACTTTTGCCAGGAATCAGCGATTCCCCTGCAGTCACCCTTTGATTTATTGCTTTCTGCTCATTCCTTCTCATGAAGTTATTCCTCGCTCATCCTAGCCAGACTTTTTTTCTTTAATGATGGGAAAGGAAACGTTCTGTTTTAGTGTTTCCCCTAGGATTGGTGCTCTTTTCAGTGAACCCAGAAATCCATCCCATTTAATATTGCTCAAAATCCTCGCAGCTCCAATTGAAGTGCAAACACGCAAAGGTTCCTATACTTGCACTTTCTGCCCATCCCAGACCCCCCACCCCCCAACCCCTCCAGGCCTGGAACAGTCCCCTTGATTCTCTGGATACAGATGAGGTCTCAGGGGGTTGGGGCGGTAGGAGGCGTGGGGCGGTGGAGACGCGCTAGGGTAGGCTGGTCTGTGCCGGATACACGCGTTCTTCTTCGGGGTTAAGGGGTAGGGGGCTGGGGTTATTAACTTACCAGAGCAGTTCCAGCCGGTGGGCGTTTGGCAGTCACTTAAGGAGGTAGGGAAGGCAGCGAGCTTCACCGGGCGGGCTACAATGAGTAGCATCACCGGCAGCAGCAGCAGCCAGCAAAAGCCCTCGCAAAGTGTCCAGCTGCTGCACTGCCGCGGGGACTCCCACAGCACCATGACTAGTTCGCGCAACTCTGCAGCAGCAAACGGCTTCCGAAGAACACACGATCGTGGGGGCCAGGCAGCGGGCTACTGAGCATCCCGCGGACGGCGGCAGCAGAAGCGACGGCGGTGGCAGTGGCACCCGGTGCGGAAGCAGCAGCCAAAGCCGCGCATGATCTCGAGAGTTTCAGCAACATCCAGTGACCCGGCTCAGCCCCGGGAGGGAGAGGGTCGTCCGCTGAGAAGCTGCGCCGGAGACGCGGGAAGCCGCTGCCATCAGGAGGGAGCTCTGGGAAGCCGGAGGGGCAGGAGGAGACCGGAGTCCGGGGGGCACAAGAGAGGAGCCCGCCGAGGCAGGCGGAGGGACAGTCACAGCGCCCCGCAGCCTAGCAGCCGCCGCTCGCGCTCTGCCGCCCGCATCCCTCTGGCGTTTGGGAAGCAGCAGGTCCTCAGCCCGCCCGGGGTCACGTGGGAAGAGGCAGTCGGGCTCTGATTGGTCGAGAGGGATGCAGGTCCCGGGAGGGAGGGGTCGGCGAGAAGGTGCAAGGAGGAGGCGGCGGCCGCGGATGCCACAGATGGGCTGGCTCGCCAGGCGCTGGCGCGAGTGGGTCTAGGAGGGGACGGCTCGGGGAGAAGCCCGGACTTCAGCGTGGGCGGCCCCCACACTCCTCCATACCACTCCCCTCACTCTCCGCTCCAGGACGCCCCCTACCGGGCCCGGGGTCCGGATTAGCGCCCTTCTCGCGTGCGTGACCCCGGGCTGCGAGCGCCCGCCACGGCTGGGAGGTGTCTCTCCGAGCCGGAGATGGTGGGGGCGGAGGTGGCGGAGAGCTGCAGCAGCAGGGCGGGGAGGGGCGCGCGGGCAGGGAAGACAGGGCGTCCCGCTGGCGCCCGGGCCGTGGGGGAATGCGGGCTGGGACCGTGGCGGCGGGCAGCCGAGGGACGCTTCTCTAGGGAGGAGCGGGGAGAAGGAGAGGGTGAGAGGCGGTGGTGTGAGAACGGCTCTGGCCGGCCGGGAAGCAGCCGCATTTCCCCCAGGAGCCTGCAATCCCCGGGCTGCTCGCCAGCCGGCTCGGCCAGCCTCGCACGCTGTCTCCGCTTCCTTCTCTTTCTCCATGCTCCCCTCGCTAGTCCCCCGCAGCCTCCTCCTCGCACGCTCATCTCCGGCCCGTAGCCTATTCCTGTGACCGCCAGGGAGGTGCGGTCAGATATGTTTCGAAGGTCAGATTTGGTGGGGACAAGTGGTCTGAGAGGAAAGGAGAGGCTCCTCTGCATAAGCTATGGGTGCGGGGCGCCTCCGCCGGGGAGCGGCGTCCGGGAAGAGCGGGCTGACTTTGACGGGCGGCGCGGGTAGTGGTCCTGGGCGCTTCACGCGGGTCTCTGCCGATCGCCAGTCACCTGGGCGAGGCGAGAAGATCTGACGCTGCAGGAGTCGCCGGCTCTGCGCGTTTCTTTTCTTTCTCTCCAGCGGACTCTGGGTGAAAGGCATAGCCCCACCTTCCGCCTGCTGCATTCTTCACGCAGTTGGACACACTATTCAGCCTAATGGCAATTTAGTCACTGGTAACGGGACCGAGAGCTTTGCGGGACGAGGATGGAGAGGAGCATCTTTCTCCGTGATTCGGGTCACTATTACAGTCAGTGTTTTGTATGCTCTACAAGGAAGAGTTTTCTTTTCAGTATGATTGCTCGGTGATTCAGGATTTTTTTTCTCTCCCGCCTTCCTCCCTCTCTCCCTCTCTCCCTCCTCCTTCTCTTTCTCTCCCCCGCCCCCCCTTCGAGAGCTGTCAGATCCTCTCTCTTTTCTCTTTTTAAATTTCCCTTTCCTGCTTCTCTGTCCTTGTCCCCTGAATTTAGAAAAGCATTGTTTGATAACATCTAACAGGTAATTAGGATCCATTCCCAATCACTTAAAAGAGGCACTGATATACTTTGAAAATGGGGACTATCTATCGTTTGCAGACACCACCAGAAAAACAAATTGTGCCCGAGTCATGCTTTAAAGTACTTTAACCTCCAACCTCCTCCCACTTCCTTGCTTTTTAACTTCTCCTGTGAGAGATGTGATCGTGCAGCACCTACGTGCCTCAAAGAAATCTCTCTCTCTCTCTCTGTCTTTTTTTTTTAGCCTGTGTGAAACCCATCCCTTTATCTGACTATCTGACATCTCCACCTCCGTCCGGAGACTAGCCCCCCTCCCCCGCCCACCTCCAAAGATTTCAGAGTCTGCTTCTCACTCTTGGCAATTAAGCAGCAGATCCCAGCATTCTAGTCGGTGGCATCTTGCTCCTCACCGACGAAGACTCCATTAAAACAGATCAATTTGACCAGACGTTGGAGGCATCAGAAAATCGGCATCTAGACAGAGCAGCTAAATTCTTTGAGGAAACAGAATGCCCATTAGATAAAGCTGACAACCGATACTGCAAAAACAACAAATCAGAGATGTCTTTTCGCTGCAGCCTTTTGGTAGAGAAGGCAACGTAAATATAACCTTAATGTGGATCAAGATTTAACAACTCCACACTACAGAGTGAGAACATGTCATTTTCTATAGCAAGGCTGGTGTGGTAACTAATCAGGCTTATGAAAGTAAGTCATGCTTGAAACTAAAGGCAAAGTCTTTAAAAGTGTTTATGCAGTAATTATGATAATGAAACAGGACTTGCTAGGATTTCAGGGCTTGGCTATACAAGTAGAATTTTATAGAACCTCTTAGCAGAGGAAAACTGTTATTGAATTCTCTGCTAAGTAAATTTTTGGCATGCTTTCTAATAATATGTACCCTTCCTAAGACATTTCGCCCAAAGTAACTTAAAACTCCAAAGGAGTTAATTACTGGTTGTGACTGGTTAACAAATGCAGTTGCTTCCTCAGAGGTACTTTAAATTATTAAACAGTTTGAAACAAAGCCTTTCCAATGGGAATGCTGTGATTTTGTTCCACTTACTATGTACTTAGTATTATAGTGCCACCAAGAAGCAAGTTCTGAAACTGGCAAGCACCACCAAGTGGCAGAAGAACATCATTCACTGAACAGAGCATTGCATTATTGAATACGTAAATACAAATATATACATTATTTAGACTCTTTGTTAGGTACCAAGAAAGTAGACAGGCATTAAATTTTATTGCAATGAAGATTGGATTAGTGCTTCAGCCTTTCCCCAACAGGGTCAAATCAGTTTACTTATTAGAATTAATTTCAAACCAGGTCTATGAATTGTACTTTGCATTGTGTATTATATGGTTACTAGTAATATGATCCAATCATACTACGCATTTGCAAAATTCTTATTTTTAAATAGGATGCAATACTTGCTTTCAATATTCCTGAGCTAGAACAGTTTATTTGTGGCATACACATCCTAGAATTGACACAGAGGGGTAGAGTCAAGTTGTCATATTTTTTAAGTAGAAATAGCACAACACTTTTTCTTCCAGAAAACTTTTTAAAAAGGGTTTTTGTTTGTTTTGTTTGTTTGTTTCCACATGGAAAGACATCATTAAGAAGGTGTTACTCAGAGCTTAATGGGGTCGGGGAGTTTTTCTAGACCACTGTTTAAGATAAATGAATAACCTAGGAAAATAAAACACACTGCCAAACAGAACTCTCCTTCCTGATCTCGTACTTTCTGGTTTTTCAATAACAGTAAGATGAGGAAAATAGTCTGCTTCTCAGGTGTCAGGCATTGAGCCATAGAAGAAGGAACATATTTTTACTGAATCTCCACAACATCCCTATGAATCAAAATATCGTCTTCATTTTACAGAGAAGGAATATGGCTGTTAAAGCATCAGGTAACTTGCCCCAGGTAACAAACCCAGTCAGTGGCACAGCTGGGACTCAGTGAAATTCTGTCTGACTTCACAGCACAAGACCTAAGTTATCATTTTCTGTTGGATTGCTGCCATTTAGCCTCTAAAAAGGGAAACTGATCATGTTGGTTCTGTCTGTGAAGCATCTTTGTCCTTTCTATGGAGCATCAGTAAGATCAAACTCATTACATCTCAACCATAAGCAAGGAGATCCAGTGGTTTCCATACCTGGTTGATCATATGAATTACTTGAGAAGCTTTTTTTAAAATAGAAAAATTCCAGGTCCCACTAGCAGGGATTCTGATTCAGATAGTCTTGGGTTGGGCCTGGGACCTATATTTTACTATTCATCCTTTTTGCAATCTAAATACAATGTATACCTATACAACTGTTGAAAGAATACCTGAACTTTTGCTCAGTTTTCACAGGGCTTTTGGCAGAGAGGTTTCTAAGACAGTATAAAAGCTTATATTCAGTGTGGTTGTACATGTCTCTCTATCCTTATGTATAAGTTCACCAAATACATATTAAGCTTCTGATATGTTTGAGTTAGCAAGTTGTGACTGTAAACAGTTTTCTCATTTGCAAAATTGTGGGTAATAATAATACCTACCTCCAAGGGTTATTCTGAAGATTAAGGGAGAAATAATATATGATTTAGTGATAATGGCTTTGGGGGGAAACCCTGTATAAATGAATAAATGAATGACTACATAAGTGTGTATTGTTATATTTATATATATAATCAAAAGTAATTGAGAGTGTACAAATGCAAATTATGTCTGTGATACTGAAGTACAAAGTAAGTTAATTATTGATAGTGAATTACAGTACCATTTTTATATCTAACACCACACCTTAACAGTTTGTTCCTTAATTTCTAGCCTATTTTGGTGATAGGTAGGTAGATGGATACATGCATAGAATGACCCAAATCATTATTCCCTTAATTTTCAGGTATAATATTTATATGAAAAAGTGTACAATATAATAGTTTGTAATAAATATCAGAACATTATTTATAGGTCAAACGCTATTGACAATGTTTCAAAGAAGTCATCATCATTTCTGGTTGATTTTTTTTTAACTGAGAGTCATTAAATTTTGCTATTTTTCTACCCTTTTCTACAATTAGTTAATAATGTATAAATAATGAGCTGTGGTTTAAAGCAATACATTTATAATGTAAAAGTTTCCCAGTGCTTTATTGATTCCTGTGTCCTTATTTATTTTTGATATTTTATGTCTATGTTTGTAATTTCAGCACTGGAAATAGTTTATTTCATTTTAGGGCAGTGGGCCTCAATCATGACTTCACATCATAATCACCTGGGGAATTAAAATATACTGATGCAGAGTAACCACCCTAGGAATTGGAATTGCTGGGGGTAACACAGAGGCATTGGTATATTTTTTTAAAGTGTTACACATTGCGTTGTTTGAGAGCCTCTGTCTTGGGGAAAGTAAGTGAGTGGCTATTTCCTCATTATACAAATACCTATGTTTTTGAAAGTAAAAGAGTGATTTTTTTTTCCACTTAAAATTATTTAAATACACGTCTCACAGGAGATGCTCTCTGGTTAAGATATCTAACCAAAGCAGTAAG